AGCCAGAACCCTTTTGTGCACTGATGCACCTAGCACCATGAGGGCTGGAGTGGTGGACGCTCCACAACCTTCACAGGACAGGTGGCAGCTGCTGCCACAGCCAGCACCCAGTGGCCCCGGAGTGGCCTGGCCCTGTGTGGCTGCCGTTGGAGGCATCTTTCAAGTCCAACCCCATGGGGCCACCCCCCTGAGCAGCAGCAGCCACCACCACTGGTGTCCACAGCTCAGACACCTACTCCAGCAAAGCATCAAGATCAGGTCCAGGGAAATTTCCAGAAGAAAAGACCACAGAACTGGATCTAAGAGGCAATGGGCCGCCACACTGTTTCAGGGCACGCAAGGTGGGAACACACTTCAGACCAGGGCACAGACATGTCGCCTCTACTCACATGGCCCAAGATGGGCAGGGCACCCCCAGCCACATGACTGAGCGAGGTCTGCTGGAGGGCTGGAGGAGAGGACAGGTGCCCCCACAGCATGTGATGCACTGCCAGTGTCCAAACCCCTCTCTCTCTGCTACCCTGTTCAGTCACACACACACACAGGCCCACCTGTGTGTACAAATGCAAATAGGCAATGAGTGTCCACATGCTGCCCACGCAAACACAGACACATGCAGGCAGACGCATGTCCACAGCACACAGCCCCCCACAACCCACAGCCCCCCCACGACGGGCTCAGCAGGAGGACTTAACCTCGTCATCGCCTGATTTCTAAGAAAAGGGCCTGTCGCCAAAACATGGTCCGGACCCCTGTGTGCATGGAGCACACAGGGCAGGACGCAGGCCACATCCCCAGCACTCGCGGCTCCGCTCCGCTCAGCAAGGGTCCCGCTACCGTTTGTTCCTTTACCTTTACCGATGGAATTCCGTACAAAACACACGTGCGCTGACCTCTGCGGTCCACCTCACGTGAAAACCCTAAAGAGCATCCGTGAGCCAAGCCACCTACAGCCAATCCCAAGGAGACAGGCAGAACACGGGGTCTGCCTGATGGGACAACTGTGTCCGCCTGTCCTTCCTGTGTCAGCGTGATGCGTTCCTTCCTTCCTGAAACCCAGTGGCGGATGTCGCTCCACGTCCCTGTCCAGCAGGACAGTACCCAAGAGTTCTCTCCTGCCCCACTTTTCAACCGCACTGCCCCCTGGACAGTGCGGTAGACCACACACCTCCCCTCCCCGAGTTGTGCTCTTGGCACCCCAGTTCAGTGGCAGCAGCCCCGCACTTGGCAGGAAACTTGCTCATAACCTGGGGTCATGGCCTCGGACGCTCCACAACCCCTGAACTGGCCCAGCAGATGGCCTCACAGAAGAGTTAGTCCTGCTGCTGCCCTACAGGCTGCCCACTGCCCACTGCTAACGGTCAACCTGCCATGTGCCATGACAGGACGAAGGCCGTGCTCCCCAGGACTGCCTGAATCAGCACATTGGGGTGCTCAGACCCCCTTTACAGAGGGCGGAGGAGAGACTCCTGGGTGCCCAACGGGACCTCAGCAGTAGACAGTGAAATCACAGAAAGGAATCCGAAAAGCAGAACAGCAACCTGAAGAAGAGGAAACGGAGTCAGAGCCACGGGAACGTCCCGTGAGGAACAGTCTCAGTGGGGGGGCCGGAGACACGGGGGCTGTGGGCTCATGTACCTCCAAGGGCAGGACCGCCTCCCTTAGCCACAGAAGCTGGGGGTGGAACTTGCTTTGGGGGCTGGGGCCTATGGCCCTGCCTCACTGGAGCCCTGCATGTCTGTCCACTCTATGGTCCTGCACTGGCTGCCCGTGGCCTCCAGGACTAACCATACCTTGAGGGGTGTCACCAAGAAAGAGGGTCAGACTGGGCTTCCTGGTGTCAATAAAAAACCCACCATAATCAGAAGTCAGGATAAAACACCCCCCTCCTCCTCCCTACCACCCCAGTTCGGTAAGGTATTTCTACCAAGTATTTCTCAAGTATCGAGGACACTGGGATACATAAAAACCTCTCCCCTCTACTTTAGACCAGTCTCCCATCACAATAAAATGCAGAATAAATGTCCCGTCAAGCAGGGGACCAGAGTGTGGTTCCCATCCTCAGGGAGGGGACCAGCCCCCAGGAAAAATGAATCCCAGTCATACCAGAACACCAGGCTCCACCTCACTGGAAAGGAACAGGGAGGTGGGGAGGGCCCTCAAAAGTGTCCTCAGCAGAAGCTAACACTGGCCTTGGCCTCTGCTTCCCATGCCGGCCTCCCCTCCACCCAGTGTGTTTTCCCTTTCTGGGGGAGTGTCTCCTCGAAGAGGGCTGAGGCCTCCATGAAGCAGAGCTGAGTGCAGGGCCACTGTCCTCCTGGCTCTAAAGCGCCAGGCATGGGCCCGCCACTCAGAAGAGCTGAGGTCAAAGCAGCAGGACTAATTCAAGGTCAGGGCTCAACATCTACCACCCGCCATGATACCACTAGCCTGAGTGTCCCAGGGGCTTCTAAAGTCAGAAAATGGGTGAAGCTTCAGAGGGACACGGTCCCCAGTGAGGCCCCAGCCCGGAGCACAGAGCAGGCCCAGGAAGCTGTGGATCCTTCTGGTCCAGGTGTCACAGGCTCCAGGCCCTCCTGCCTCCAGGCCGGAATGACCAAGGTGTGGTCTCATGAACCCTCCCCCACCCCCCCACCCCCCTACCCCCGGCTGCGGTGGAAATAGGAGGGTGGGGCCCCAGGGGTGAGGTGTGGAAATAGGAGAGGTAAGGATGGCACACTCTATTTCCACAACAGCCCAAGCATTTCCAGGGACGGAGTCTCCCCAGATTTGCCCCACCACCACCAGGAAGCCCACCCAGAAAGCGAGGTACCTCCCTGAGGGTTTCAAGGGTCACCTAGAGTCAGGAAAGAACTTCAGGAGCACCAGCGACCCTGTGATGGGGCAGGCATGGCCACTGGCCTGGGACCATGGAGTTCAGACCCCACACAGTGTGGATCCCACATGCAGGCCTTTAGAGCAGCTCCAGCCTGGCTATTCACAGCTTCTACGGGCCCTTCCCCACCAAGCAGGGCACACGGTGGATTCCCCAGGCTCCCTCCTCATCAGGCTGGTGATACGGTGCCCTCCACTCAGCATCTCTGAGTACAGACTGTGGTCTGACAGCTTACGTTGAAACTCAGAGCCAAGCTAGAGACCCGGAAAGGCAACAGCACTATGACCACTGAGCAGGGAAGAATCTCCTCTGCTGTCTCTTTCCGAAAAAACACGAAGTGCAGAGAACATAAATGTCGAAGTCTCAAGTCAGCTCTGGGCCAGCTTAGCCGAGTGGCACAAGTTCAGCTGAAACCATAAAGGGTCTGTTAACGAGTGAGCATAAACCCCACCCTTGGCACTCCTGAGTCTGGGATCACCCAGGCAGATTCAGTTTCTGCCTGGCCCCCAGTAGAAACTGGGTGGGATCAGGGTTCAGAAAGCAAAACCACTCCAGGAGGGGGAACTGGGGGCTTGAGGCCAGCTGGGTGATACACTCGTCCATGGGCTTGACGGCCCAGCGCACCACGGGAGAGCTCCTGAGAGCAGACGGGGCAGGCAGGAGGAAGATTATCCTCAGCTTCCGAACAAGCACAAAGTCTGGGGAGAAAGTGCATGTGGTCCCAAGACAGGGCCAGCAAGCAGGGAGCCAGACACCCAGTAGGACAGCCGAGGGCTCCTCTGGCTCCTCTGGGAAGACAATGGCTCTTGGTGGCCCGACGAGCTCTTCCTCAGTGCTCAGAACCAGAACCACAGGGCAGTGGTGAGAGAAAGGCTGAGCTTATGGTCTCTGACTCCATGTCCACCTGGTCTCAAGCCCCTGTGCCAGGAAGCAGCCAGGTAGCAGCAACGACAGCCCCACACCTAGCAGAGCAAAGGTGGGCAGCTGCTCACCTTGAGGGAAGGGGCACCTGAAGGAGGGGCAGGACCCTAATGAAGGATGATGCAACAGCCCATCAGGACAAGCCTGCCAGCAGGCTCCTAATGGTGCCCTCAGGAGGGCCTGGCCTTTCATGCCATGGTACCGGGCACTCAGGACCTGTGGCCTCCACTGGCCTGTTTGCCCTCTTTTCTTAAGTGCCTGGGGCTGGGAGCCTCCTTCCAAGGCTGCAATGGGGGGCGGGGCACAGGCAGGGGGAGCCCCAGCTGTGGATACTACACTGGGTCCTCTCATTTCCCCCAATTTCTAGAGGGAGGCTGAGAGCAAAGATGAAGCTGATCACTGACGGGAACCCATCCATCAGCCGCAAGAACAGGAGCCTGGAGCCGGGATGAGGAGGCACAGGCCTGAGGGAGCCCCCACAAGAGAAAGTGAAAGTGCTATAGACCTGAGACTCCGAAACAAAGAGGGCCAGGGGGGGCCTCTCCCCCAACCCCCACCCCGCCAGGGGCCTACTGTCCCTCCTGTTGATGACCCACACAGTGGGAGCACACAACCGGGACCTCAGCAGGGGCTAATTTGATCAGTGGCCCGCAGCCTGGCCGCGTAGGGAGCAAGGGCCTGAGGAAGCAGGAAGGCCCTCCTGCGAGCCAACCACCCCCTACCGCTTCCGCACCCCACCCGGCACAACCAGGCAGGGGTTCTTACCAGAGGCCCCTCCCCCGTTCCCATAGTTACCCCGGGCGTCTCCCACCTCCCACACCTCCCCACTGCTCCACCCAGAGTTCTAGAAAAAAGGTGCTTCCAAGGCCCCGGGGCGAGGGTGGGGTGGGGTCAGTGGGGGAGCTGCACAGGGGGGCTACAGCACTAGAAGCGATGGGCAAGGCCAGGATCCTTCACTCGCTGTCCCGCAACTAAGCTTGGTGGGGGGCTCTGCAAGCAAGAGGGGGGCGGGACGGGGGTGAGGGTGAGGGAACCTCAGGAGGAAGCGAAGAGAGGAACTGCGGGGGACCCTGGGAAAGGGGTTACAAGGGCGGGAGAACAGCCCCACACCCTTTCCTCCGGTCCCCCTCCCGCCACGAACCGTCCCCATCCCGGCAAAGCCGGGCTCCGCCTTTGTCCGGCGGACAGGTGCGGTTGCGCTCACCCGGGCTCGGGCTACCGGGCTCGTGGCCCTCGGGAGCGCCCGGCGCCTCACTCAGCTCTGCCGCCTCGTCCTGGTCGCCGTCCGCCCGCGCCTCCACGGGCACTACGGTGAAGTTGGTGGGCATGGTACTCCGGTCACTGCGCGCTTAAGGCCACACCACGAGTCCCAGCCACCCTCCGCTCCGCCCGCTCCCGCCGACGCGCCGCGGGACTTGAGCGCAGGGGCGGGGTCCACGTGGCCCGCCCCCGGCCCGCCCCCGGCCCTGTCCTCGCCCCGCCCCGGCCAGCCACGTGACCTCACCTGCGGTCCCCGCCGCCCGTAGAAAAGTTTGCGCGGGACTGGGCGGAGCGCCTTCCGCAGACGTCCGTACCCGAGCCTGTACCAGGACTATCCGCCCGACCAGCTCTTCTCGTATCACCCTCCTCCAGCGGGTGGCTGTCGACTCCCTCACTGCCTCCGAGCTGCCGGCACTGATCCTGCCCCTGCCCCTCCCGCCAGCAGGATCCTGCTCGCAGTCCCCAACACCCCATGGAGTAGTTCCCCGAGAAAGTCTGGCTCCGTCGCGGAACAGAAGTGTCCCCCGCCCACTAGACTGACTGGAATCTTGTCTCCCCTCCCCCTCCTTGCCTGGCTGGAGTTCACCCAGCGCGTGGGAAGGGGTTTCTTGCAGAAACGAGCTTGATTGGTGAGGGGGCCTGCTTCGGTCCACAAGGGACTTAACCCGGTACACAGAAGTCACTAAAGCTCTGTGACAGAACCCCAGACCCCGGCCTGCCTGCTGAAAGGGGCCCACTCTGCCCCGGTCCATCGGTCTGGTCTGGGGAAGCCACACGGAAGGAAAGCTTGCGCAGAGCACAGGGAAAACGAAGCCAGGACGCGGAGGCAGCAGGCACACTCGGATGGCCTGTATCTTACAGCCTCAGGTTACTTTCCTAACCCCTGAGACACAAGGAAACGGGCCAACAAAGGGAAGTTAATCCGAAAAGTTATGACAAATAGGTGCAATGAGTCACCCCAAACAGTTTTAACACCCATAATAAATACAGGTGGTACCGGCAAAGGTGGGCACAAGTTGAAACAATAATCAGAAGGATCTGATCCTGTTTGAAAAGTGTGTGTTTCTGCAGGCCCAAAGGCAATGGAGACCACGTTCTCTCTGGGCGGTGGAAGCTATGCTTTTCCCCAACACTGTATTCCTGTAACAACCCAACAACGTAAAACCAAATTCGGAAAAACCATTTCCAATGAAAGACAAAGAAAAGGTGGGATGGCCCAGGTTTCCACCCCCTGTTCCTGACAGAAGCTGGAGGCTCGATGTCTCAGGTGCCCAGGGTCCAGGAGGCCCAAGACCACTCTTGACAGGAGTTCCACCTGAGCTTAAGCTCTGGCAGCCTGGGGCCACCCCTGGGGAATGAGCCTGTCCCCCAGGAGGAGGAGAAGATGCCCACCAGCTGTTAATCCCTCTACCAGGAGAGCAGGAGAGAGCAGGACCAGAAATGAGGGGGAGGACAAGGGGAGAAAGGGAAGGGTGAGAGGAGATAGGCCCATTACCTAAAGCTAAAATTATATTTTTTAGAAGAAAAAGTGTGGTGAGCCCTTCCTGGCAGGGTGGGGGAGTGAGGGCCACAGGGACAGAAGCCCAGAGGGGAGGGGACATGTCTGGTGCCTTTGTCTACCCTGTGGGACCAGGATTCTCCTGGTTGTCAGGGTGGGAAGAATTCTCTGAGAGGACTGTCCAGGACCAGGGTGGCCCCGAAGATCCCAGGTCTGTCCCACCTGCAGTGGCTCAGAAAGGGGTTGTCACAGTCAGGGATAGCCAATGTCCCCCTGCCCCACCCTAGCAGGCAGAGGGGGCTCCAAGAGTGGGCCTCTCCACCTCACTCTGCACCCCTGTGACCGGGCTTCAGCACCCGCCTCCTGCTCAGAAGCGCTGTGTTGGCCCTGGGGACAGACACATCTCTGTCACTGAGGGGGCAGGGCAGAGGCAGGCCACCCGCCCTGAGGGCCTAACTGGTCCTGGGTCATGAAACATGTCATTGTTACCTGAGAATTGAGAATACACAAAACAAAAAACATGGGCTAAGGAGACCCATGAGATGGGGGGGCGGGTAGCGAGGGCAGCTGGGAAGGGCAGTGTGGGGCTGCTGGCATGTGAATGCCTTCACACTATTCTTGGACTTTTCTGATGATTGGAAATGTTTCAAAATAAAATCATTTCATAAGTCTAAGTGAAAGCTCCCGGTTTCAAAGTGAAAGATGGCTGTACTGAAAACACTAGCAGCCACAACCTTCTATGTCCCTAGTGAGTTATCCTGGTGTCCTGCTGCCAGCTGCCCTTGCTCTGCTCCTCTGTCCCCAGCTCAGGACATCCCAGGTACCTGGTGGCTGGATGTCCCAAGCTGCCTACATCACCCTTGGCCTTCAGGATTAGGGTACAGGGAGGTGCAGGAAGCAGTCCCTTCAAGATGGAAAGGTGGGGTCCCCACCCACAGAGCTCTTGGAGACCTTGCTGGGGTTTTATCTTGTTTATTTGAGAAAAGTAAGGCGTAATAAAAGAACACAGAGCCCTGGACAAGTGGCTCGGTTGGTTGGAGCGTCGTCCCATGCACTGGAAGGTTGCAGGTTCGATCCCCCATCAGGGCACCCACCTAGGTTGCGGGTTCAATCCCTGGCAGGTTGGGGCACGTACAGGAGGCAACCAAGGATGTTTCTCACATGGATGACTCTCTCTCTAAGATCAATAAGTATATCCTCAGGCGATGGTTGAAGAAGAAGAAGAAGGAGAAGGAGAAGGAGAAGGAGAAGGAGAAGGAGGAGAAGAAGGAGAAGGAGAAGGAGGAGAAGAAGGAGAAGAAGGAGAAGAAGAAGAAGAAGAGGAGCCCAGTTGGGACTCCAGCGCTCCCGTGGGTTTCAGATCTTTTCGTGGGCAGAGATCCAGCCTTAGGCCACACCCCTCTGGGAGGGCCTGGATCTCCCGCTGCTCATTTTCTGAAACCCCAGGCTTGGGGACTGTGGGAGCACACGCACAGGTCTCCTCCACCCCTCTCTTGCTCCTCTTCCGACACTGTGGAAGGCCTGCGCACGCACGAGCACTTACACACTACAGGACAAACTGAAGCCCTGGAAGGGGGCTGGTGCTTGAGCACAACGTAAAGTGTGAAGCAGCCGGAACACCATTTGGTCCTCCGCCCCTTGTTCTGGTTTTACAAGTAACTTCAAGTAAGTTCTGGGCAAATATTTGCTGTCAGCTTCAGGAGAAGCCTTGGCAGCGCCCAGGCCTCAGAGTTGGAGAGTGAGCCCAGGACTGGCACAGGGTCCCCACTGAGCTACAGGTAGCCTTGGCCAGAGAGAGCAGACCAGACCCAGCTGAGTTCTTGAATTCTCCGCAGCAGCAATGCATCCCGAACCCATTGTAGTACTCGAGGGCCAACTGCAGTCCTGGACAGACTCGAGGACAGTCACTGTGATCCCAGACAGCTGGCCCTGTAAACTCCAAGGTGAGGCCAAATCCAGCTATGCTTGGGTATAAAAGGTCTCGGGGTCATCCCACCAGGAAATTGCGCTGAGTCCACGAGGGAGGAAAAGCCCGGCCCCGGGTCTGGCCAGAAAGGACTTAGTCAAGTCCACCCCTGTGGTGGGTGGGGAAAATGGGGAAAACCCAGTATCTGCCGTTATAATAAACTGAGCTAAACCCTGAGGACATTGCAGTTTGTGGGGATTTCGTCCAAGGAGGGGAGGCCGCGGGACCAGTCTTTGGCCTGCCGACTGCAGAGGCAGAGTTGATGGATCTGACTCAGCTCTCGCTGGGCCCCCAGGAGCCACAGGGCAGAGAGAGGGGGACCTAGCACCCAAGCCCACAGGCGGAGAGCCTTGCTTCCCTGGCTGCCCACTGCCTCAGGGGATCTCAAGCACCAATTGTTTAAGTTGAAAAGAAAAGGAGCTGCCTGCACAGCATCAGTGTGATCAGCACACCAGGCACCCTCCTCTGCCGAGTGTTCAGGGGGCTGCGGGGAGGGAGCAGGGTGCAGCAGCATCTTATAACTGGACCTGGAAGGAGGGTCTGCCTCATTTCTGTGAAAAGAGAGTCTGATCCGTGAAAATTCAGTCTATGAAATACAGACCGTTCTTCCTGACATGAGACGATGCCTGTAGCAGGTTGAAGGCATTTTCAGGAAGCTCTAAGAACATGAGTCTGTTCCCTCATCAGCATGTCATTGCACCGTCACTGGTACAGATGGGAAAAATGTGGGAATACCACCGGCAGCGTTTTTAAAGCCCACAACTGGAAACGTAGGGAAGAGGACAGACTCACGGGTGCTGCCGCCTTCTCCCCAAACCCCATAGTGGGGTCCCAGCCAGAGAGCACAGACACCCAGGGCCCTGGCCTGTCAGCCAGCAGTCTCCCCGCACCCTCACTGTAGCCCGCAGATTCCCAAGGAGCCCTCAGCTCCAAGGAAAGCCTGGGAGGAAGCATACATCTCGACCCTAGCCGTACTGTGACCCTCTGTCCATTCCTGTCTGGGTCTACAGGCGTCACACTGCTGTCTCACCCACGGCCAGTGCCCAGGGCCAGGTAGGCCAGCAACCTCAAGCCTCAGCCCCTCCTGAAGGTGCACGGTCTCAGGGTAGGCGGTGAGGACAGCAATAACTGTCAGGGCAGCAGGGCTTTGTGGCACAAACCTGGCCCACACGGCCATCCCTATGCCATCTCTGTGCCAGGCCCTCTCCCCCGGGCTCCCACCCACACACCCTAGCCCAGGACAGAGCTGGCATGGGCAGGGCAGGCCCCACCCTTTTCTGGAAGGCTGTGTTTCAGGGTGCAGGCCAGGAACACACCCCATTCCTCTGGACTTTCCCCAGAGTTCCAGGGAATGAGCCAGCCCCATGCTGTCCTACGCCAGTGATGGGGACGGGGGCATCCAGTTTTGGGCTTTGGTACCTCTGACCTCTGTTCAGGCCCAGCTGCTCCTCTTTGCTGCTCCATCTCTCTGCAAAGTCCGGTCCACAACAGCCTAACAGACACTCATGTTGTCCCCAACCATTCAGTCCCTCTGAGGCCATCAGACGGGACTTTCTCTGACTCTACTGCAAGTTGCTGGTGTCAATGCGGACCTCTCTGCTGACAGGGTGCTGGCCAGGTCTCCTGTTTCACTCCTCAGAGTGTCAAGGAGCCCTCCTGGGGTTGAGGTAGTCCGGCCCACCTGGCAGGCTTGGA